TATTATTTTAGTCTTTCAATATTTATTACATTCAAAATAAATATTTCAGGTATGTTAGTATTTTAGTTGAATTAACGAGAATTGAAGGAACACGACATGGATCACTGATTGCTTCTCAAATGTTAGATGTTGCTATACGTGTTCAAGCAATACGTTCGTTTGCTGTTTCACAAATGGTAAGTTTAATTTTATAGCATATTTTAAAAACAAATTTTTACTGATTTAATAAACAATAAATTTTTACAATGTTAAATTTTGATAATTAGATATTGTAAACTAAACTAAATAATAAAAATTGATTCATTCATGTTTTGAATAATAATATATTTTTAATTATTGTATTTACTTGCATTTATACAGTATGTTAAAATTTTTGAAATGTTTTTCATTNGCAATGATTATAAATGTAGTTATTTTATATTAGTTAAATTGTTATTTTTAATGAATATTAGCACATTCTGAATCATTAAAAATAAACTTTTTCTGGTCACATGCACTACAATGTTTTGGTTTTGTTTTCCATTCATCATGAATTTGATAATATTTTGTGATTAAACAAAATAAAATTAGAATTGTATTAATAAACCTAATATTCTTTATTTTGATCTCTAAAGTCACACCTCATCCTATACGCAAGATCATCTTATACCCAAGTAAATACAGTAAATAAAACTTAAGCTGTGTGCATGCATGCACATAACTTCAGTTTTATTTACCTCAAACAAATGATTTCAAACTACTATTTTTGAAAAAAATAAATCAAAAATTAAATGTGCTTCTGAATACCTGAATACAAGTGTTTCTTTGTTTACAACAGTGTTTCTTTTGAGTTTTTTATAAATCATGGTTATATAAGTCTAATTCTAAAAACTGCTATCAATATATCCAGTAATATTGTTATGTATTCCTGGTAGGATTAAATACATGTGATTGTTTTTAGAATATATTGCTGAATCATCATAGAAACTATTTATTTTTTGATTATTTTTGTTAGAAATATATTGAAGTGAGCAGTTTTTTATAAATTAAAACAACTTACAGAATTACTGGAATTAAAGTGAGCATTTTTTTTATATTCAATAACAAAATACATGATTTTAGTAAATGTTTTTTAAACATGAAAAATAGCCTTATATGTGGTAATGCAAAGACAGAGAAAATTAGAAAACATTCAATTATCTCTGTCCTTAGTTTTACATATAGTTATTTCTTTACACTTATTATAACTGGCACTTCCAGAAAGTAATATAAATATTTCTTATATTTGTTCTTATATTGTCTTATTTCATTTGTATTGCTTTTTGAAAACTGTCAATGGAAAGTAAGTTTTTTCAATGGCTTTTTTGTGATGTTTTAAACAGTTTACTAAAGCAATGATGATTACATATTGTAGTTTTATGGCCTCATTGCCTCAACATATGACATTACATTTAATGTCTTATACAATATTAAGATTGATCCTGACATTATTTGGATGCTGACTATTACTTACTTATGAACATAAGCATACAAGTGCATAGTATTGGAAATGCAACAAAATAAAATTAATATAATGTGTGTATTGAAAAAATTAAATAATGCATTGTTTGGTTTATAAATTGTATAATATAGCAGCATTTATAAATTTCATATCAATTATTATAAATTTTAAGTATCTATTATTTTAGTATTTTATAAATTGAATACAATTCATTTTTTAATTTTATTTTAGGCAATTCTATTAGATAATGCACATTTATTAGTTGCAAATACACAAAGAAATAGTATCTGTGAGGTATTATTTGCTGCTGCATGGATATGTGGAGAATTTTCAGAGTAAGAATGTGTTTTTAAATTTATTTATTCTTTGATTTTGTTTAAAATATTTAATAATTTTATTATTAAACTAATGACCTATAAGAATATTTAAATCTTTAATTTTTAAATAAATATTTAATTAATGCAAATGTGCAATATAATTTAACGAAAACATTTAGAAGAATGAAGAATTTTGATAATTTCAGTAAAAACGTTTGCATTGCTATGAATAACAGGTTTTTTCCAAATACAGTGTAATTAAACTTATAATTAAAAATGAATGAAGCTATTTAATTTTACTTTGATTAAAATAAATTTGTAAATCTTAGCTTATGGTTTTCTTAATTAGGATAGTTTAAGTTTTTTAGAAATGGAAAATGCTACAGTTAGATGTAAAGTCATAGCAGTCATAAAAATAGAACAAAAAATTCAGGAAATGGCTTTGTAATAACTAAAATTTTAATGTGATAAAGTAGAATTGTTATCATTTGCTAAAGACGAAATAAAATTTTAAATACTGTAATGTTTTAAAGTCTTGCAAATTGTTATGACAACAAATTATGAGAAGACATATGATATTTAAGTAATGAAGTAGTTTTTACTAAAATTATTAATTATACAAGTTGTCATAGAAGTCATTAGCAAATAATACAGAAAATGATAAATTATCCATAATAAAAATTAATGTTATAGGATGTGATAAGGTTTACAAATTTTAATTTATGGTGAAAATTTCATTGACTTTCATTTGAATTGTTTAGGTTATTGACTGATGCATTTGCATCCTTGGAAGCTATGTTACGACCCAAAGTTATTTTACTACCACCTCACATTCAAAGTATATATGTGCAGAATATTATAAAACTTTATACTCAGATTGTAGTTAAAGCAGAGGAAACAGATGATACAGAATCAGCCCAAGTTGTTGGACAATATATAATTGATAAAATGCCTATGTTTGTCCAGAATGCTGATCTGGAAGTTCAAGAAAGAGTATGTTATGTTACTATTGATTATAATTCAAATATAATTTATTTAAATATGTGGATGATTAAATTTTATTTTCAGGCCTGTGGTGTTTTGAATTTAGTAAAACAACTAGTGAAATTGCAATCAAAAGGTGAAAAGATAGGAGATGAAATAAAAGCTCTTTTTGTAGGAGAACTTAATCCAGTTGCTCAAAAAGCACAAAAGAAAGTTCCACTTCCAGAAGGGTAACTGTCTGTTTTAAAATAAATTTGAAAATTTTTAAATTCATATCCATTATCTAATATATAAAGAAGAAAGTTTGTTAGTTTGTTCTTTATACATTTTGAAATGGTTTGAGCAAATGCAATGAAACTTTCCAGGGACTATCTTTTCATCCAGGAGGATATCAATGACTTCTTTTGATCAAATTAACTTCAGTTCCCCATCCACAATAGTTCCACTTTTTACCTGACCAGCAGGATGGTGGCATTTGAATAAGAAAATTATATAATACGAAGTTACTGACAAGCACAAAATAGACCTTTGAGTGATTTTTGAGGGTGCAAGTTTAAATATTTGATTTATATTCTGTGAAATTTCATTGGCTGGCCAATTACCATTTCATATTTGGCTATGAATGTTACATTAGACTTAGCATTAGAAAAACTTTGGATATCTTCAATTATTTTTCACAGATGAAAGTTGATGACTGTCTACCCAACTAATGAAATTTCACTATTTTATCATATAATCCAGGCATTGCATTCTTAGCAAGCACAAAACATATACTTGAGGGTTTCCAGGGTGCCAAGCATGAATCTTTAGTCCATTTGTCTCAAAATCTGATTGTTCAGTTTTTCTTTTTTATATTAATTCAAATGAGATCAGTTTGTTCTTTTTCTTCAAAATAGATTTTTGTTATTTTTAGTCTGTTTTCTTACATTTTGTTTTTCCTTCTTATAATTTAAATTTTTGTGATAAATATGACAGTTTGAGCTAAAATAACCAAACTCTTAATATTGTTTTCATTTTAATGTTTGTTGTTTTTATTTTTTACTGGACCTATCTGCTAGTTGTATTTAATATATAGTTGTTGTTAGCAGTAGAATGAATTCTTATTCATAATATTTTACTTTGAATGGTTAATGTAGTTTAAATAAATTATTGAAATACAATATTCTGTTCATATTAATGTTGATATATTTATTGTTATATTTGAAATAAACAGAAAATTATGCATAAAAGCTTTTATCATTAAAATAATAATTTTTTTTCTCATTACTGTTTGTATGAATTGATAATATATGTGAATATAGAAATATGATGTCATGCCTTTTTAGGTTCTTTATTTTCAAATTTTGAAAGAACAACTTACAAATTAGTTTTTTTTAATACAGATTTTGTTTCTTACATATAGTATAATACAAGTTTAATTTTAAAATATACCATAAGGCCCAAATATAAGATGACTCTTGATTTTAGGTTCTTTATTTTCAAATTTTGAAAGAACAACTTACAAATTAGTTTTTTTTTAATACAGATTTTGTTTCTTACATATAGTATAATACAAGTTTAATTTTAAAATATACCATAAGGCCCAAATATAAGATGACTCTTGATAAAATATCACGTACCTTAGAACCTTTAACCGATGCGAAATAAAAATTTAATAGTACAAACGTTTTCAGACCCCTCCTGGGTCCATCTTCAGGCAAAAAATCGTTTGAAGATTACCGAAGTACGAAAAATATTCGTTTAGAACGATTTTTTAAAACCGAAAAGATAGAACGGAATCACGTGATCTATATCTGTGAACGTCATATCTTCTACGTCATATCCACAGATATTTAAATATTTTCCCTCGTTTTTAAGATTTTATGAATAACTTTGTTGTTAAGCCCATAAAATATATCACATAATTTTAGATAACCCATTTACTTCCTTTCTTTTAGGATTATGACATACTTAAACCTCCTGTTGTAATAGGGCCTGCCATGCCAAAGAAAGAGAGATCTCATCTCTGGAATTGATCGGTGATGTAGTGTTGTATGCCTTGCATAATTCTATCTGCTCCAGCCATTTGAGATGGTCTAAATATGAGGTGGTGGTGATTAATTTAGCATTTGAAAAGTCCGCAGTTATTTCTGGATCAGACGCGTAAGTTGATAAGGAAGTGGTACATTTATTTTGCTGGATGTCACGCATATGTTCTTTCAATCTGATCCCAACAGCTCGTTTTGTTGAGCCTATGTAAATTAAATCCTTTCTAAAACGATGATCCCTGAGTGGCACTTTGTATACCCCCGGCATTCTTTCTTCCTTAGATTTGTCTTTTCCATTACGTAGAATACCAAATATGGTTGGGCATCTTCTGAAGGTTAGGGAAATACCTTTCTGCCGTGCGATTCTATTATGTATTGATTTCAACAGTGGGTTGTAAGTAACTGACATCCTCGGTTTATCCTCCTTTTGGTTAGCACCTATTGAATTAATTCTTTTAGAAGGAGACATCGTTTCTCCGAACCGTTGCGACATTTTTTGT